CGAGGAATGCGCAACGCACGTCAGTTATTAGTTCCATTGACAAATGACTCTGGGAAAAGTGGTATGAGCGTTGAGTTGTATGGTGCAGTTGCTTTTTAAGCTGGCAGTTAGAAGAAATACAAAAGTTAGGTAGTTAAAATGTTGTTTTCTCTCTCAGCAAACTTGCTAATGGTAATGATAAATGCCAGAATGATGAAGATTCTTGTTTTAAAAACAATACGCCAGCGGTCACAGACATGAAATCGACAAAAAATTAGTACGCACATGCTACTCACGCATATTAGGTAGTAGGTTTAATAGTTTAAGTATGTAGTCTGAGCTTAGGTGAAATCTAAATCTAGGATATTTAGTCATCCACACCAGAAATAGCACTCAAAATTGGATCGAATTTCCTGTGGAAAATCCCCGTTTTCTTGCACTTAGCAGCTGAACGTTAAAAATCAGGTGTAAGTCAATGCGGTAAAGCTCTCAAAAGATCCATCGACCTAGAAGCTCGAGTTTTACCTTAATAGTCCCTATGTATAATCCATCCTCAACTGCCATCGAAAATCGAGGACTTTCAAGGACAACACTAACATGGGTTTAGTCAATGCGCCACTACGTAAGCCTGCAAAAAACAGTTTCAGTCGTTTCCTGAGTTGGAGTAGGCAGGACCACAATGCCGATTCACTTATTCGGTTTTAAGTATCTATTTTGCAAAAAACTGGCCTACGTAATTGCCGTTTGCGCACTCCAGAAACGCGAGTGCAAAACAGAAGGTGGAGGGGGGGAGGGCGGGTGTAGGACTTCTCACTTACCACACAGCGAATCCGCATCGTGTCCTGTGCGGAGATAAATGAGACGCTTTTAATTTTCTTCGTAGTTACGGCATCCGCTTCGTCGTTCCACTGGGCGACCACATAGCCCTTCTTTATGTGAACCTTGGCATTGATCATCGCCTCCTCAACAGCAGTCTCCACGGTCTGGTCTTCAAATACGCTCGGCTCCTGATTGTCGTAAAATGAATGAAATAGTGGCAGATGAGCGGAGCATTTGATGGGAAATATCGCTAAAAATATTTAAACTTTGTGTAATTTCTCCAATGCGTCTTGTTGATTATAACCTTTCAGTCATATTCTATAGAAAAAATGGAAAAAGTGACTGATATGGTTGCCTAGGCAGGGCAGAAGAACAGTAACCACCTACAGTACATGCGGTTGGACGTTTAATACTGGGGACATAATGTTTGAAATTTTTGATTAAAAGAAAAAAAAGAGATGAAAAGGGGAATAGAGAAGAAAATTGGACGTTAATTAAGAAAATATGGCCCATCTATTCCCTACAGCGATTTTCCCCACAAGTATACAGAGCAAGCTATGAGAACACCCATCTCCCAAATAGTAAAAAAAAATCGTGAGTATTGACTGTTAGCTCAGTGC